CGATGATTTCTACCTTGCATGGACGTAATTTCTGTAGTGCTTCCATTATATTTCCTCGTTGAATTTGTGTGATAGGGCTGGAAAAGGGTGGAGTCAAGACCTGAACCCAAGCTTTGGGCTTCCAGCCCAGTTCCCCTTTCACACCCCCCACAGCAACATCCCATTCTGCCCTACAGCCTTGTCTTCCTCCAAGGGACTCTATGGGACCCCGATAGTTCCCAAAATCTGCATGCTGTTCCAGGAAGCTCAGGGATGGAGGGCAGAGACAAGGCACATACACCCATAAAAAGAAAAGGACACTTGAAATCACAAGAGGGATTCTTGGCAGCCATGTAGTGCTCCAGCTGAGAGGTCTCCATCCCAGAGGATGGTCTAAAGCTGGGAAATGAGATCCTAGCTGCTTTAGGAGCCCACAGCAGAGAGGAGACATAAGGGCATTTTTAAGTAGTTCAGCTGCTCCAGCAAGCCCGGGGCCCAAGGCCTCACGCATTTGTCTGATTACCTTCCCAATGCTTGTGAGCATCACTGTGTTTTTTTCTGAAAATAGAGGAGACTTCCAAAGGAGGATCATCCCAGCAAAGCATCGATTTGTGGCAGGTGGGCTTCTGAGAGAGCTCGCACTGCTCACTCCTTCCGGCACCCACATGTGTCATGGACCCTACCAATTCCAGCTGTGTTTGCTTCCACTTTAGCCTCCCAGGCAATCCAAGCTCCCTCTCCAGGCCCAAGGAGCTGAATGAGGTGGGACAAGAGACTCCCTTCTGAGAAATGTGGTTGAGAAGGTCAGTATGACTTAGAGCCTTAGCGCATCAGTTTCTCAACCTGTGGAGAACCTTCCTCACCCTGGAGTGGGTGCCTCCCCCGTGTCAGGAACACAAATGTGGATCCTGGTAGTGTGCTTGTTCATATCTCTTTTTTTAGGATGAGAGAGGGAGAAAGAGGGAGAAAAGGGAAGCGAAGGAAGGAGGGAGGAAGAGAAGGCGAGAGGGAGAGAGGGGAAAGAATAAAAGAAGGACAGAGAGGAAGAAAAAGAGGGAGGGAGAAAGATACAACCAGGAAAAAAAGAAAAAGAAAGAAAAGAAACAAGACAAGAAAAAAAAAAAAAAGCAAAGAGCAAACTTCTTTTTCGCAAGCCCCTCGGGAATTCCCTTGGAGGGGCCAGTGCCTCTCTTGCTCTTTGTAGATGCTGGATATACATTCCCCTTTAAGACTGGTTGTCTGCAGAGCAGGGGAAACAAACCAGAACCCCCCATAAATCAATAGAGGTCACTGCCAAGAGCTTTGTACACTTGCTGTCCCTGGCAGTGATAAACTCATTGCATTTGGGTACTGGCCAAAGACCCTGAGTCCTATCTTAATTCTCATTCCCAGAAAAACCTCAGAGCTCCATTCACCCACCCCATTTACTGTCTTTGTGTTTCCAAGACAAAGCTGGCCAGAAGGAAGGAACAGAGTTCCATAACTGGGTACATCAAAGGCTCCACTTCTTTGCCTGGGGGAGGAAAGGAGGGTGGAGGAGCCATGGGTCTGTAGACTGTGGGAAAGGAAGGCCCAGCCGCGAGGGGCCTGAAGTCACAGCCCTGCAGGGGGCACAGGAGACCTGCAGAGGTTTCTGGACCCTGTTTTTCCGGGACCATGCCTTGCATCTGCTCTGGTTGCTTTGCTTGGTTGTTCCCTCGCCACGTAACTTGAGCCTGTCCTAATGATCGCCAAGGGCTAGCAACAGGGTTGGCAGAGGAAGATCACATTGTGCGACCCGCCTTCAACAGCTCAGTTCCCAGTCCCTGCTTTCTTCCCGCACCATCGCCACCTTGGTTCTGGCTTTGAAGGTGGCCATGTGACCTGGGGAGGGTGGTGCCCAAACTGCTCCTCTGGCCCACATCGCCCCCTTCCCAGGGAGTAGACCGCCATTGTCTGCTGCTCCTCCCTCCCTGCCCCTGGACTGTCCTCTTCGCCCTGGGTGACCAAACTAAACAGCAGCACGACTGTACGGTCCCACCCTCAATTTCCATTTCCATCTGCTAAGATCTTCCTTCCTTGATGAGGACCCTCCTGGCTGATAGACAGCAATTCCCCACCTCTGGCAGGGTAGGTCCCCCCATTTACACCCATTCACACCCATCCACAACACTCTCTACTTGCACTTCTTTGTAGCCCTTAGCTCCAATATCCCTCCATATTTACAAAAGCAAGGTGCAACTCTACTAGTGGGAACGGGCCCACTGCAAGGAGCAAAACAAAATTACCCAGTGACGAGGGCCTGAGACAACTTTAACAGTAGTAGTCAATGATCTGTAAGCATCAGTCTTGCCCAATAGAGTCTAAGCTTCACAACAGCAGGGACCTTATCTGTCTTTTCAGGCTGTAATCAATGCCTGACACAGTGCCTGGCACCTAGTAGGTGCTCTATAAATAATTGCTGAATATTTTTATGATTAAACGTTTAGGCATCTGTTTTAGCCTGCTCTGTTTTTAATTGATACATTCTTTCTTTTAATGGGCTAGGCTTTTCCTGCCCATGATGAGCCTGGAGGAACTGACTGGACGAGGGGTGCGATCCTTTGCCGAGTCCAGCAAGGTTGGACTAGGAGGGGCCTCCTTACTCCTCTTGGGGTAAGGGGGCATTTTGTGAGACTCACCTGGGAAGTTAAGACTCCTCTGAGAAGTCAGAACAAGAAGCAGGGACCTGTCGCCTTGGACAGGGATTTAGAGAAGGTCCAGGCATGACTGACAGGCCTCTCCAGATGGTTCCAGAGCCACCTGGCTATGTTGGCCAGACAGAAGTGATGCCTGGGGCACGACTAAGGAGACGGTGAGTCATTTTTACTCGGGTTAACATTTGTGCCTAAGATTTCAACGTTAGGACCATTTAACACAACAAAAAAAATGCAAACAAAGACCATGATCCCTTAGTCTGGGCTCTGAGACCATCAAGGATGAGCCAAAAGGGATGCTGTCATTGGACTTGCTGGGAGCCGAGTGTGACCTCCACTCCCCTTCCCGATACAGAGAGCAGGAATCGATCCAGCTGTAAACCAAAACAAGCATCAAGCCTGCAAACTTGCTGAACCTTAAATTCAAACGCGCGTTTCAGTGAACCAAGAAACAATGTAAGTTCCACTAACATTTGACCCTGGGTTGGATGCTATGCATATATGAGATAAAAACATATTGTTCCCTCGAGGAACTTAAAACTGGAGTGGGCTGGATTTTTGTCTGAAATTTGCAGAAAAACACTTGGTGAGGCATGTTCTCACTAAATGTATTAAATCAGAACACATCTGGATTATCAAAGTAGGCTCAGATCCAAGCCACTATTTAATTTCGCTTGGCTCCTTGCAGTGAGCTCATTCCCATTCGTAGGGTTGCACCCTGCTTTTGTAAATATGAGGAAGAATGAAGCTGATGCCAAAATAGGTCCACTTATGGTCCAACTGAAGATGGGTGGAGCGGAATTCACATGTGGCCAAGGGCTTTCTTGCTTTCGGCTTTCCCTTTCTTTTGCTGTGAAGAGGGAGAGGATCTTGATAAGCCCTTGTCATGCCCCAGCTTCCCTGGGATGTGCTAGCAGTTTGGGCAGGTATCTCTAAAATGTGCCTCCCACCCCTCCCCTGGGAAGAGTAGCCGAGGAAGAGGTCCTTCATGACCAGTCCAGCGCTCAGCTGAGCACCGTTTCCTCGCTGACCAGCTCTCCATTCTCCTGAGCCCTGGGCTCTTGTTTAATTTCATTGGATGAACTATGAGAGGGCATCAGGGGAGACGCTTGCTTACCAGGCCAGCCTCTGCCTGATAATTCCACCTCCTTCTCACAGGTCCTCTCTTGGGACAGCCAGGCTTCCCTGTGCAGCAGAGCTAGATTCCATTTCAACTGACAAGTAACCCTTTTTCAGTAGACAAATTCCCTCCTTTAATGAACCAGGCTTTCTCTGCCTTTCGTGAGGACAGATCTTTTCAGAAAGGACCAGGAGGCAATAGGGATTAACTGGAAGTCAGGGGTGAAATTTGTTGCTAAGCCCAGGATGCAAATACCGCTAGGAGCCCAGGAGAAGGGCAGGCAGCGTGCCACAGCCTCTGCCCTCCTGGATGGGAGCCTCAGCCCCAGCGTATCTGCCCACGTACCCCATGCTCTGGTTCCAAGGGCACCCTTCCAGGACGAGATGGTGGCCTTGACATACACAACTGACCCAATTGTATCGTTGCATGTTGAGTTTTTTAATTAAACTTTTTATTTTGAGATGCTGCTTGATTCACATGTGGTTGAAAGAAATAATGCAGAGATATACCATTTGTCCAGTTTCCCCTAACAGTAACACCTGCAGAACTATAGCACAACGTCATAGCCATGATATCGACATTGCTACATCCACTGAATTTATCAGATTTCCCAATTTTACTTGTACTCACATGTAATGTGTGTGTATTTAGTTAGGTACAACTCAATCACATGTGTAAGATGTGTCAAGATACAGAGCTATTCCACCACAAGAATCCTTCCCATTGTCTTTTTAACCACACCTCCCTCCCCTCTCCTCTGTTCTCCCATCCCTAACCTCTGGCAACCACTAATCTGTTGTCTGTTTCTATAACTTGTCATTTCAAGAATGTTATATCAATGGAATCATACAGTACATAGCCTTCTGGGGCCTTTTCACGCGTCCTAATTCCCTGAGATTCATTCAAGTGGTTGGGTGCATCAATAGTTTATCCCTTCTTATTGCTCTGCCTGTGGTTTACTTATTAAGCAATACTGCACCCTAACTTGGCACCAAGGACAATACTCAAAGATCTTTTATTCTAAGACATAAGATATGTTTTTTCTGGTATTTCAGAATGGGACAAAAACAAAACAAAACAAAAACATGGTGCAAGTTTTCCTAGGGACACACAAGCATACCTCAGTCTGTCTGTTTTTTCCCTAAAATAGCGGCTGATTGGGTGGCAATTACATTTTAGCATCAGCTCACAGTTGCCTCTTGTATCTTCCGTCCCCTCCTCCCCAGGAGCACATCTACAAGCTGATGAAGAGTGACAGCTATGCCCGCTTCCTCCGGTCGAATGCTTACCAGGACTTGCTGCTGGCCAAGAAGAAGGTATCTTTGGGAAGGGCAGGCTTGCCTTTCTTAGCACTGTTGATCCTCGCCTGCTGCTTGCTGCTGGTGTGAAATGAGACTATCCTCCCTTGGGTTTTATTTACTTTCTCTTCTTTCCCTTCTCTCTCTGCTCCCACTGCAATGGAAGACAGTTAGGATTGTTGCCACCCCAAAGCCCTTGGTGCGGCATCCTGTCTCCATGTGCTCATTACCTCCACCTGCGTGTTCTGCCCACAGTGGGGAGTGTCACCAAATAGTAAGGCCACAGTGGCTCAGTGCAGGTGCTCCTACCAGGCCAGCAGGGCCACCAGCGAGTCCCTGAGGAAACCAGACAGAGCCTCTCACTACAAAGTCCAGCCCTCGCCCCACAGATTGTCTCTCCCTGACCAGCCCAGAGATGAACATGAGGCAAGGACCGGGGCAGCCCCCTCATTGGATAGAAAACCTTCTAGGTTTCAAGGGGGCCAATGGGCACCTGAAGTCATTACTGGGATTGTTCCCTCCTTGACACTCATTTCCTCGCCCTTACCCACCACACAGTGTTTGTGTTTTCTTTCAATTAAGAAGTAACCACACCCTAGCTCCTCCCTTCTCCTCTACTTAGAATTGTGTCTTGGTTCCCAGCAGCCCTTGGCACCTGGATTTGGGGGCCCAGGGACCCTCAGCATGCAGGCAGTCGAAGGGTGACCGAAGCAGGGATGAACCCAGCTGTGTTCCTGGGAAGAGGGAAGGAAGAGCCGGGAGGGGCCTGGGGCTGGGAAGGGGCGGGCAGGAGAGACGGTCCCTGATCCCAGTGTGCCTGCGAACCCTCTGCACTCCTCCGCTCTGATCTGAGGCCCACGTGTGGATAAGCGTGCCTCTGCTTGCACCAAATTCCACAACTTCCGTGCCATGCCACCCAAGGAACATAAGCATCTTCATCCTGTCTCCCCCTCTCAGCCTTCCATCCCCAGGCCCTGAGCATGTGACTGTCCATCCACACGCTCTCTGTCGGGCTGCCTCTCGGCCACGCAGCCCTTCTTTCCCTGTGTGCTTTCCGCCTCACGTGCCAGGGCCCTGTCTGCGTATCTGGTTGGCGCCATGTAACTCCAGAGCCTTGATGAGCATTTACAGTCTGCTCTCTGCCCTTAGGGAGCCCTGAGGGCATCCCTGGTAGCCTGAAAAATAGTAAAGGGCTTCTGGAACACCCAGGTGGTCAGAAACCCAGCTTTTCATCGGGTGTCACTACTCTGATGGGAAATCGTGACTCTAGTCCTCTTGCCAGTTCCCTTGCAAGAGGATGGAGATGGAGGGGCTCTGCTGTGGGGAGCTGATACCCCCACAAATGCCTCTGATGCCCATTTTTTTCAAGGAAGGTTATGGAGACTTTTGGTATCTCTAGCCCAAATCTCATGGGAGAATGTCAAAGCAAGTGATTCTTATTTCTTATGGTTCGAGGCCTTGAACTGATCACAAGTTGGGGAAGTTCGGAGGCTCCAGCAGCCCGACCAAGCCGGGCCTGTCTGCACACCCAGGAGAAGCCAGAGGCCACGCAGTCTCCTCGCGGGTGTCTCAGGGGCAGGGCTTCCACAGGCCCTCCCGCAAGAGGGTAGGAAACCTCATAGGTTTCAAGGGGGCATCAGAGGAGGTTGCCTGAACAAGGAAGGAACTCATGGCCTCCCTGTGAAATGCTACAAGTGAAATTTACTAGAATTATTCTCCCCACCCCCACATTAAGGGATGTTCTTGCAACAGAAAGCCCTCGCAGATGCCAGCAGTTGTTTCCAAAAACAGTGGCAAAACCTTCTTCCCCTCCCCGCCTCCCGCCACCCCATTTCTTCCCGAGAGTCTCCAGGTGTGGGCTGGATTTATAACCAAGCACTTTCAGGTAGGCCTGGAGCATCTTCTGATTTCAGGGATGGGTTTACCATGTGATATAAATGTCCAGGTCATTAGAGGCATGTGGGAGTCACAACTTCCTGCTGAGAGAGGGGATGTGAATGGGCCTCGCTTCTCTGCCGAGAAAGACCCCTGAAGGGGTCTGGAGACACAGCCTTCTGATCCTTTTCCCTGGCCCACCTTCTATGCTAGTATCTCCAATGATAAGCTTAGTCACTTTGATGTGCCAGGTTCCCAAAGAGCAAGTGAGCTGGATTTTGACGGCTCCTCCAGGACAACTAAGCACCAGTGACAGTGATTGTCCAGGGCAGCTCAGAGGGGCTGTGCAAGACAGAGGAACCCGACCGAGTCAGTGCCGATGGCCCCCCTCTGCAAGAAGCCACTCAGTAGCCAGAGCATAAGAATGAGAGGCACAGAACGCTAGCTGCAGGGCCTGGCGCTGGCCCGACTCCGGCCCAGTGCGTGCCACCCGGGCTGCCCGCTGTGTTGGAGCTGAGCTCTGCCGCCCCCAGAGTGGAGACCTGGCATGGTCCTCGGGACCAAGCGTAGATCCTTCGGTCCGTTGTGCAATGAAGGGGACCAGCTTGGCTCTGCAGTACTGGGTAGTTTATGTTTTCCTTCTGCGATGTCCTGTCTGCCTTCGGGCAGCCAGCTGAGGGGAAGGGGGCATGACTGCCAAGGGAGCCCTCTGATCTGTCCGTATGGACAGGTGGCCACACTTTGCCTGCCCCCTTCCCCAAGCACATCCTGCCCACCCACAGACACCTGGCTGCTACTTTAGCTCCTAATTTCCATTATTTGCCGTGTGTGTGTGTGTGTGTGTGTGTGTGCGTGTGTGTGTGTGTGTGTCCCTGTGAGTATGTGTTCTCTCCAAATTGCTTGGTCTTGGGCTAAGAGCCCTGGGACAGGGCTCTAGGATAAACTAGCAGGTATAGGGGGTGTAATTCTCTGCCCAAGCCCCTGGAAGAAGTGGGACACTTGGGAAGAGGGTCAGTTGCACATCACACCCTCTCCTCCTCTGGTAGAAGTGAGCAGCTAGCCCTAGGGAGCGTTCGAGGGCTTTGCCTCCTCTTGCCCCTGTCGGGGGCCTCCCAGCTAAGAGTTCCCTAGAAAGCCTCCTCAACCTCCTGCAGTCTGCCACGAGTAAACCTTGGAAGCGGTCACCCACTTGGGTACGGAGAGAGCATTTTCTTTCCAGAACATTCCTTCTGAAGCCCAGGACCCTTTGCAAAGGACATGGGTAGACCATGCTTACTCTAAGGATGAAGAATGAGGCCATTAGAGGGCCATTAGTGAGTTACTGGAGTTAGGAAACTTTCCAGCAGATTCTGGGCAAAAAAATCTGCAAGTCGTAACCCTCAGCCACTTCTTGGCATCTCATCAGCATCCCTCACACACCCTGCGGGCCCTGAGAGCCTATCTGTTCTATGTCCCCACTTGGGGCCCCCAGCTGGCTGCCTGAGGGCTCAGGGACACAGCCTGCAGGGCCTCCTGCCCGTGGCCAGTGCCCATGGAAAGCCGTGAGCAGGCGGCTCCCAGTGCGGACTGGGCCCAGCAGAGCTGCCTTGGCTCCTACTCTGAGCCCTGAGGATGATTCACGGCCCCTGTAGAAGCACACACCCCTCCCCTCCCTACTCCAAGAAGGCAGCGCCATTCCCTGCGGGCTCCTGTTTTTTCTGTCTCTCCCACTGACCCTCGCATACAGCGCTGGCTGCTTCTCTTTTCCCGTTTTTTGCTCCCTGTTTCGCTTTTTTGTTCATTAGCTGCCGCTGTGCTGTTTGGAAACCACGTGTAAGCTGAAGATATTTTTTTTTTCTGTATTTTTCTCCCTACCTTTTTTTTGTTTGTTTGTTTTTCCTAAAGCCAGAAAGTGAGCAAGGTCGTAGAACTTCCTTAGAAAAGTTCACTCGCAGTGTGGTAAGTTCAGCTGGTTTTGTTCCCTCACATTTCTTTTGTTTTTCTCGTTTTCTCAGTTCTTCTTTGTTGTTATTTCCTTTGGGGTGGGAGGGAGTCCAGTGCTTCCCCCCTCAACACATCCCTTTTCTTTTGCAAGTGTCTGCAGCTTCACTTCTAGGGATGGATTTGCAAAAGGCCAGGCGGCTCCCTCTGGAGAAGGTGCACACACGACCGCCCAGCCTCGAGCTTCACATTTGACCTTCCGGGCAGGTCTGAGCAGGAAGGACCTGCCGCACTGGGGGCTGTGCAGTCTGTGCACCTTCTGCAGTGGCCCAGGGAGAAGGCCATCGAACTGTCTCATGAAATAAATTGGCTCAGAACCATAGTGCATCTAAAAAAAAAAAAATCCAAATTTCCCTCTGTGAACTCTGGCAGTCATGTGGGAGCGGGTCGCAGGCTGATGCTGCTGTGTGGGCGGCTTCTGTGTGTGCAGGAGGCGGCCGCGCTGCATGGGTTTTGGCAATGTGGTCTAGCTGGTGTGTTAGTGGCCTCTGCATGAGTCACAGCCCTCGTCAGCCTCATTTGCATAGTGTGACAGGGAGAGGAGGGCAAGTAGCCCTGGGTGGAGGAAGAAGCAGGTCCCTGTGCTCCCAGAAGCTAGGCCTTGAGGGAGTTAAAATAGGTCACAGGTTCTCTGTCCCTGTACGGAAGTGGCCTTGCCCCACACAGGCTCTGTGTAGATGGAGTCGAGACCCGCGCAGTGGCACACAGGCAGCCCCGTGGTACCAGGTGAGCGTGCTGAATGAAGAGGTGGTCCCACTGGTGCATGGCGGGATTCTGTTCTCTGGTCGGGAGAACAGCGCGGACCCGCCTCCCCTTCCCAGGCCATTCTCCGTAAGATTTGAGCCTAGGGCTTGGTGCACAGGATGTATTCAGTCCCGCTCATTCACTCACTTGTCAAAAACAAGCTGCTGAGTCCATGGGCCCCTACCTGCACTGTGAATATTAAACCAGGGGGAGCCTACGTGGCAGCCAGGAGCAGAGATCCCACAAACGGGAGTGGCCACGCTCCTCTTCCTAAGGGTTGAAACCCACGATGGCGACTACCTTCCTCCTCGCCCTCCACCCCACTGCCCACTGAAGAGGAAATGCCTTGTAAAACCTGACTACTGTGTGATTAGTATCCTGTATTTCCTTCTTTTAACACAAAACCTAAGAATTCCAGGTTGAAAGCAACCTGGTTGTTTACCTATCATAGCTAGATGCATTTTAACTGAATTTAACCATTATTTTGAATTTGCTAGATGTAAACATCATAGGAGCCCTCGTAGGTAGTAATTAAAATATGGGTGCTCATGTTTTCTCTGCTTTGGTCCTCCCTCTCTATGGTCTTTCCTTATGAGAAGTCAGAACTTGGCAGAACACATGGCCTGCTGGTCTGTGGTCTGTCTTCATGGCGGTTTTGCCATGGCCGTGTGGCTTCATACCCCAAGAAAGTGCCACAGATTATGGAAGTTCCTGCACTCCCAATGGCCTGATAGAGGGCAGTAGGAATCTGCTCCTCTCTGTCTCTTTTGAGGCCAGGATATGCGGACAGAGGGTTTTTAGGGATTTTATGGACAAGCCCAGAGTGTGCTGGGGGGCGGCGTGGACTGTTGGTGCAAACTGGGAAAGCAGAACCCCCAAGGGTGTGAGAGAGAAAGACCAGTATTTGGATGCGAGGTACAAACATCTCCAGGCTGCTTTTTAGGAGAAATGAGTATGAAGAAAGGCCAAGAATGATCTTGATGAAGCTCTGTGAAGAGCGTTTATTGATGTCCCTTCATCCCAGAAGTGGTGTTGGTTCAGTGCTTCTCCAAGGTCTGTTAACAAAGCATTTGGAATGAGAAAGCACCAGACACCTTCCCAGCATCGGAAGTGTGCATGTGGGAGAATTTACTGAGATGTTTGCAGGGCCCACTGAGGGAGAAGAATCTCTCAAGCTCCCAAAATTTTTAACACCTATATGATAAAAGGCCCAAACTTCAAAAAAAAAAAAAAATCCTAAATTTCCTGCTCTTCTTTTATGAAGGCTCTAGTGGGTGGTGCATTCTGATGTTTTAGTTCCAGTGGTGGAAATGGAGATGGATTTGCACTGATCCATTTATGCTCCTTGTGCTCTTGGGATGACACCGCATCCCCACAAGAGGCAGCTGAGTTTGAGGCAATGGCCCATGGCCATAGAGCGATGGCAACTCTTGGAGTATTTGAGGCTGGATTCCCAAGAACTTGGTCTCAACAGCCGAGGGTTCTAATCCAATGGAATTAACCAACTAACCAATATGCCATGCAATTTGATAGTCATTTTCTAGATATAATAATCATAAAGTGCTTGATTTCTATAAAAGAAGGTCTACCCGAATATTTCATCTACCACATCCTGTGAACTATAAAACTCAATGGAAGGCTAGTTCAATAGCATTCTCATGGTGCTGGGAAAGATGTGGAAAAAGACCATGCACGTCATGGGGCTAATAATGGAAACATGAAGGAGCGAAGCTGGGCAGCTCATGGATCGAGGATGTGAGACCAGCTGCTATTTAGGACTAATTGGTGGCAAGAAGTGTTGACGTGGTTGGTAGTTTAGCTCAGTCAGCTTGCTTCTTACCAAGACTGAAGCTGAATCCAATATTTCTCCCACACAAACGTCCTTTCTTTTCTTGGTAAAGGAGGCACATTTGGAGAAAGCAAATTGTTCTTTCCAAGTCTCAGGTGTATCATGAATGTAGAGATTCCCTGATGAAGGTGGCAGACCCCCCGCCCCCTTTTCACACGAGACCCTGGAGAGTTGTTTAATGCAGTTCGTGGAAGTGCGAGGGCCGTGCTCATCTGGGTGCAGAAGGGACCTTGCAACACCCCAAAGAGGCAGTGTTGTGTGAGCTTCCCCTTCCAATAGAAGTTTCCTTCTGAGTCATCCAGAACTTGAAAACACAAAGCGAATGTCTGGGTCTGTGCTGGGCCAAGAGCTGTGTAGTTTGGCCGATGGGAGACACCAAGCCTGCGCGAAGCCCTGCTTATTAGACAGAGCAGGCTCAGGTTCAGGACCAAGCCTCACTGAAAGTTAGGGCATGGGGCAGCTCACCTTTATCAAAATCAGAACACAGGACTCCCTCCATCGGGCCCAGCCCCACAGAGCCACAGCTGGCCAAGCAAAGCACACGCTGGATTCCGACTCCTGCTTGACTCTCAGCTGCCCTTGTGCAGTGAGTGACTCACACCACTGTACTTGGTGGGCCTGGTCTGAGGAACCCCAGTCTCAGGAAGGGCTGTAACACATAGCAGCTTCTCAAAGGGGGCCCTGACATGGCCTCTGGTCAGTTGAGTGGAGCTTGTCTCTTCCTGGCCCTGCCTGATGAGAAGCTTCCTTTCCTGGTGTCTGTAAAACATGAAAGCCCAAACCCTGGCCAGTGTGGCTCAGTTGGTTGCAGTGTCATCCCATAACTGGAAGGTTGTGAGTTCAATTCCTGGTCAGGGCACATACCTAGGTGGTGGGTTTGATCCCCAGCCCAGGAGCCGACCCCCGATCCAGATGCATATGAAAAGCAACCTGCATGGATGTTTCTTTCTTTTCCCCTCTCCCCTGCTCTCTAAAACTAATGAAAACATGTCCTCAGGTGAGGATAAAAAAAACAAACAAACATGAAAGCCACAGTAGGAAACATCTGGCCCGTCAGTGTGGGTTGCTTTTGCATCCCCTACACCAGCTCTTCAGGTGCTTGGGTGGGAAGTCCAAAGGCATGACTGACTGGCTGGGGGAGGAGGAAGGTTCTCAGACTAAAGACCACTTCCTACCGCTCAGTGCAGACCAGCCCGCCGTTCCCTGCCATCTTCCTGACTTTGCGGTTGGCAGAGGGGGGTGTGAGGGTGGCCAGAGCTGCAAGGCTCACCCTCCCCGTTCTCTCTTCGGCATGCTCATTACTTCAGGGCTTGCGGGAGGAAGCGGGGGCGGGGGAGCTGTCCTTACCAGGAGCTGACTCTGACATGGGCGACCAGGGAGACGCATGGAAGGAGGCGAGAGGAAGCCAAGGGCCTTTAGCCAGGACTCAAGAGCAGCAATTAGATTGTCCCTTTTGGGATGGTGACCAAAGTCATCCAGTGAGAAGTCATCCACCCTGGGGACGAGAAACTAGAGGAAGTCCCCTGCTCCTTGTATACAGTTCCACGGAGCGATGGCACTTAAATTAGAAATGGTGACTCCAAGGGATGCTGGCATTAGCCTCCCTGGACACCTTTGCCTGGGAACTCAGTTGAATCCTCAGCTGCCCTCTTGAAGACTTGTCAGCTGCAGCCTGGGGCTCCAAACATGGGAAATGGGGTTGCTGGTGCCTGAGCCAGCAGCACAGGGGGCCGCAGAGGACAGCGGAGATGAGGACCAGGGCCAGGTGGGTTCCTCGCCCGCCAAAGAGAACATCACAGCTGAGCTTTGTCAAGGTGCTCCCTGGAACTAAAATAGCAAGGGCCAAGGGTATGTGCTGAGTGGTGCCTCTGCAACAGGCATTTCTGTCCTGCCCGCCAAGAGTGTGGCAGGAAAGTCAGATGGAGACCAGGAAGCTCTGGGAACCAGCTGTCACCCACCTTCCCTGTCCCCCCTTCCCAGCTAGAAGCCAAGGAAAAGCTAGTGAGAGCTAAAGTCAGCAGATCACCCCTCCCCCCACTTCCAGGTAGCTCTGCAAGAAGAAGCCCTGCTCCAGGCCCCGGTGCTGAGCCAGAAGCTGAATGCTGAGGTTCCCGGCAGGTGGGGCAGAGGGCAGATTCCCAGGGTGCTCGCCAGCCTGGCATTAACTGCCCTTTCCCAGAAGTCGCTTCCCCACACCCTCAGCCAGTCGTGGGGAACAGCCACACACTCTGGTGGAATGAGTTCTTAAATACCTAGACACGGCAGTGCCTCCTGAGGGCTTCGACCTCAGCTGAAAAAATAGTTGCCAGCCTTCAGCAAGGGAAGATTGGCTAAAAATCTTTACACAGGGTTGGTTTTGACTGCA